TTAATAAAACATACTGTGTACTTTATTTCAATCATATATTGAAGAAAAAGGATGCAAAAACTTAGATTTACATTAAATGACTTGTGGCCGAGTTGACTTGTGGCCGAGTTGATTTGTGGCCGAGTTGATTTGTGGCCAAGTTGACTTGTGGCCGAGTTGGCAGAAGCCGAAATTTTTGTGGCCGAGTTGACTTGTGGCCGAGTTGACTTGTGGCCGAGTTGACTGTGGCCGAGTTGACTTGTGGCCGAGTTGACCTGCACCCCTAGTGATGATGAGAGATTTATTCTGCTGTAGGGCGGAAGATTGGTACTGTACATGTAGTGTAGATTTTTGAAGTGCAGCACATGGTGATCGTCTTTAATCGATAGACTACTCTAACCGAGACAGACTGTACATCCTTACTTTACATCATCATTAAAATACACAGTGTAATTATAGGCCTTATGTATTTTTTGTAGGATTTTGTAATTTTCCCCAACGGGTACGGTGTATATTCGAACAGTACTATTTGAATGTCCTATGTTTTGAATACAGTCAATAATAGGACACTTTTATCCAGTGGGTGGTGATACGGAGGTGGGGGGGGGGGAGAGCAGCTAGGGTAGACTGTACAACCACAATTCGTTGGGGAAAAAAAATATTTTCTACTAATAAAATCGATTTAATTTTTGTTTTTTTCAGGGTGGAGGTGGGCTTTGCCCATGGACCACTTTAGAAAAGTATTTGGCGACGCCCGAGCATGCCCTCTTTGTTCTCGTTGGGGACTTTGACAGCCCCATCTAAAACCTGGTGCCGCCGCTGCTCTCATCGGAGGCTAATTACTAAATACCTATGAAGCCATCAGTCTTTTGAGCCGCTCTATATTTTGATTCCTTTCTTGTTTAATTTCATTTTATATTTGTCCAATAGGCCTTATATATTTATTAAAGTATAGCGGCCTACTTTGAAATGTTATTCAAATAATAATACTAAATTGTCTGCCTAAAAATACAACAAATCAACAACTCACTGCGCCTATTGTTTATACGATCGATACAATACAAAGGGAACAAGACCATCATGATTTTAATAAACACAATAGTGTTGAAGTATAAGATGATTACTCTGACCACAACAAACATGCATTGCATTATGAAAAATCACCTATAGATGGCCCAGATCTTTTTTTCTTGACATTTCTTTCTTTTTCTGTAGGGAACAATGTTAAATAAGTTAGTTTTATTATACATTAATTATCTTGCTGATAAAACACACAAGTTTGGGCGGGAACCTAACACTGACAGCAACAGCACAACAATAGATAGACAAACGATGAACAAAAATACTGTTTGTGAATACATTCAAAGAGACCAGGAAACAATAAACAACCGAAACAACAGCACCTAGCTGGGTTGTATAGTTTTTGCGAAGGCCCAAGGTACAACTTGATCTAATGGCCCTAACAAACCTTTAATTTGTATCACTTTTTGTGATTCCAACCGGCAATTTAGTAGAAAGAAGCGTGTACGGTTAAATAATGCATGTGAGGTCTCTGCCGGCATCGCACAACAGAGAAATAGACCGGCAAAATAAGTATTTTGGCACACTTGCTGGCGCCGGCATAATAAACACTGCCATTTGTTTATTAATTTTTTTTATTATATACAGACATTCTTAAACACAATATCTGTAAGATATTCTCAAGCAGCTTTAGATGATGGAAAGGACAAACCAAATGTAGATGATGGAAAGAGCAAGCCTAGTGTTTTGTCAGCAATGATGGCTGCAGCAAGAGATAGACGGACAGCATTTGGTAAGTCCCAGTCTTGTTCCTTATGATGACATAATTTATGTTGAAATATTAAATCCCGACACGATGGCGTGCATTTCGATACTTGGAGTATGTATAATACTATCTTATCTGAGATTAATCAGTGGACCTTTCGTTTTCCAGACTTGTTTCACCTTCAAATTCACTCTATTGCTATTATAACATTATTTTACACAATTTATCATATGTAAGAAGCTTGACATGACTTAAGGAAAGGTACTGTATTGTGGAAAATGCAATATTATTAAACTGTATCAGAAAATTGACATGGGGTTCACCAATAAGTTTTACATAAAATAGTATGAAACAAACTCCGAAAAAAGTGATACAGCCATTATTGATTCTATATTTCAAACTTTTAATATTAGTTCATCTTCCTGAATATAACTAATAAAGTTCGAAATATAGAATCAATAATGGCTTGTACTGTATCACTTTAAAGAAGATTGATTGTCTCATAATTTAGCCTGTGGCTACTATTTTAAAAATTTTAAATATTTTTGATGTACTGTATGTTTATATTTTGACTAAATAAAGGCCAATTATAATAATAGTGGGAGAGATCAGTCTTGCATCCCACCCCATTGCAGTGTGGAGGTAAATTTGGCAGAGCTTTATTGAATTGATAGGTTTTTGTATATATGTGCTAAATGATATTATTTCCAAAGCATTTTCCCAATTATTCTATACATACTACTGAACTTTTCACTTATGTCTAAGAAAACAACTTAATTAGTTTACCCTACGCTATTACTCTTCACAGATGCCCTTATCCAGAAAGAGGCCACAGCATATGAAAAGGGAAAGCGCCACCTGGCGAATATGATGGGTGAAGATCCAGAGACATTTACCCAGAAAGATGTTGATGTGAGAAATTTAATAGGCCCTACAGACCTCTATGATCTTTAGCAGCTTTGATTTTTAAAAATTAGAATTATAATAATAATGTAAAGACATTTGTTAATTTGGGACCACAGAAAAGTGCTCTTTAATTGGAAGTATTTAATTGAAGGGAGACCTGTATTTGTTTACCTTTATAAAAAACTTGTCTTCATTAAAAAATTATTATTGAATAAGAAACCAAAGTGGGTGTGTTTCTCACCTTGAGGTTGGATTTACAGCAAGTGAATATTAGTATTTTCCACAGGTACAATACATGTTTTTGAGCCATTGCTGATTTCTTCCTGTTTCTTTTTTTTGTTCAATTGATAGGATGCTATTCGCTACTTATTTCCATCTGGTTTATTTGAAAAGAAAGCTAGGCCAATGTTGAAGCACCCACTGGAGTACTACCCTCCCCAAAAGGCAGCCCAGTTCGGCCCTGATGGAAGGCCATATGAATGCTTATTTTACACTGGCAAAGCAAACTATTACAACCTGATGCATGTAAGTGAGCATGTGTACTGTAGACCCTGTAAATTGTGCTAACTCAACAAAAGTATAGTTATATCATGGTTATATCATCTCTTAATTTGTCAACTTATCTTGCTTTAATTATCAGGAATGTGCTAACCAAATGAACAAACTTATTAAATATGAAGACCAAAAAATTGCCCAGGGAATTCTAGAACCAAATATTGAGCAAGTGTAAGTATTGAATAAGATGTTCTTATCATTTTTTTTAAGGCCAGCTGTACTAGAAACCTCAGATGTGTGACAGGTTTGTAAAAAAAAACTGCATGTATCACATTGTGATTTGGTTTCTAGCCTATTACTTTTTATACATATCCTATGATGCATAACTTAAAATAGAATTTAATTACGCTTACAGGAATCTAACTCGAAGTGAGTGGATTGATAAGAAAGCTTTGGAATTAAAAATTGTGGAGAATATCCGTGATGAAGAGGTAATTATTTTTTTCATAATATTTAATTATTACTAGCAGTTTCTAATAGAAAGTAAAATGCTGCGAGTATGCAATTCATTCATGTAAATACTAATAGATACTTCAGTACATATAAGGCTGTACTATTTTTAGTTTCAGTATTAAAAGTTGGTAGAAATGTATGATTTGGTGGCTTATAAGAATGGATTTCAAAATTTTGTTTACAATGCTACAAAACAACATAATAATATACTAATAGACATGTTAGTAGTTGATCTTGTTTTATTGTTAACCACAATATGCTTCACAGTATTTAAATATGTTAAAAAAAATTATTCAAAATAGCCTTCACAGTATTTAAATCTGTTTTAACAGAAAAATATTTAAAACTTTTTAATATTTTCTCAATATTTAAAACTGCTTCAAAAAAGTGGCTAAATGCCTCACAGAAATTAAATCTGTTTAAAAAAAATGGTTTATACATATCGTGCTCCTCAGTATTAAACTCTTTAAATAAAATAATGCTTTATCTACAATATGCTTTTCAATTTTTTAAATAAATGCTATATCCACAATATGCTTTTCAGTATTAAATTTTTATAAATGCTTTTTAATATTTAAACTTGTTTAAACACTACAGTGTTTAAACCAGTTTCGAAATAGTATCTTCATCGGGTAAATGACCATCAGATCATTTCGTCATCGGCCGATGACATGCACCCTCTGTTGGTATTTTAGGTATTTTCTGCGGGGTCCTCTGTTCCCTTGGTTGGTGTAGAAGGTCATCGTAATTATGTGATAGCTTGTAGGCTCCTTTTCTCCATTTATCTAAACGAAAACATGCAACACCATCAAGCTCTAAACTGACAATGACCTGGATTGTGTGCAACCACCAAAAATCTGCAAACAGAAGTATATGTTTAAATTAACATAAGATTGAACCACAACATTTGTAACCAAATTAACACATAAAAGCTGTTTTACTAACATATATATTCAATATAATTATAGATTACTATTATGTACTTTATGAGATATTTTATTAGATGTTGATTTATTAGTAAGATATTTGGATATCAATATACACCTACCTCCAAATATTATGTTAGGCCTAGAAGAGACTAGCAAGGCCTTCAGCCTATAAGCCCAACCATAACTAGCCTCAAATACTCATAAACAGGACACAATCACACTCTTCTAGAAACATCACTAATATGATGACCATAATCAACAGCATTAATTAGGCAATATGGACCCATAAGTGTTTGAAAATACAGTACTTACCAAATCAATTTCACAGGACACATGTGAAACTGACAAACCAACTATATACATGTGCAACCAACAATCTGCAAACAAAAGTACATGATTGTGTAAATTAATGTAAGATTGAAGCGCAATATTTGTTAACAAATTCACACATAAAAGCTGTTTTACTAACATATTCAATATAATTACCGATTACTATTATTTTATTCGATATTTTATTAGATGTTGATTTATTAGTAAGATATTTGGAGATCAAAATATACACCTACCTCCTAAGTATAATCATAGAAAAAACTATTTATCGCTACAAAATTACAATATGGCGTCTATGATGAGCCTGTGGCCACATACACACATCAAAATAATCTGGCAATTTCTAATTAATATCAAATATAAAAATAACACTGTTCGTTTAGACACCTAAGCCTAGTTTACAATTTAGCTTCTGCTTTATAAACTTTGTATCTCTATCCAGGGGCATATCTAGGAAGTTATATACTTGCACTCCCAGTCGTTCCCCATTGAAAATGGTTGAAGCAAAAAATCATGCTTATGTAGTTAAAAATCACCTAATTTTGCAAGCTCGTGGCCCTCACCTAACCATCGAGCCCACCTACTTCAATTTTGACCCCCACATTTTGAGACTCCTAGATATGCCTCAGTCTCTACCGAAATCCAGCCATTGTTGTTTCCAACAGGATTGTTGTTTTCTAGCACTTTTCAATTTATACACTGTACATACAAGTTTTTGAGGTAATTGAATATTGTTCTTTTTAGTATGAGAGGTTCATTATTATGATGGAGAGGCTACTACAGCAGCCATATGCTAAGCAAGCTGAGGCCTTTATACTGGAATACAGAAAAGAACTTCATGCCATACTCAACAAAGAGGTTATACATGAGGTACTGTTTTAATCAATGTATATGTGCATGTACTGTATATAAAATTATTCAAAATTATATACTGTAATCTTTGGTTGAGTTTTCCTCAATATTATAATATACAAATATTTACTTGGTTGAGAGGCATGGTTCAAATTATAGCCTGAGGTGATCTGGAGGTTGTCCTATATCCCAAGACGAAGTTGAGGGACATAGTACAGCTTCCAGATCACCAAGGGCTATATTTTTGAAAAATGACCTGATTAAAACCCAGTAAATATTTGTTAAATATTGTAGGCATTAAAGGGCATGGGTGGAACTATTGCTCGGCTTTTAACCAATCAAATGCCTGGAAACTATGTTGTCTGTATATGAAAATGTATATAAATACTGCCTTTAGGTATAATATATTGTGTGGCATTTAATTTCTTTCAGCTTCAGTATGACGACAATGGTATTGCATTTAGTGAAGCTGTAGGTCAGCGCAAGTCAACCAACGCCAGGGTCATTATTAGAGATCAGGGGTCAGGAAAGGTCACTGTCAATGATAAACCAATCCTTGAGTATTTTCCATCTATTCAAGCTAGGTAATAGTAAATATATGAATAACACAGGCTATATGAATAGTCTTATATTTGTCAGTAGGACTACAGTAGTTCTAAAATGCAAAAACCATGCAAAGCATTATGAGATTGGAAAAAGACAGTTATTATACACCATTTTATTAGGGCTATTTTAAAACAGCGGCAACAACGTCTCACAACTCACTGGGGAACATCCAGCAGCCTAGCTTGAGCAAATTTCGTTTTTCCAGACACATCTTTGTTTTGAGTACTTCGACAACTAAAAACACTGCAGGATTTATGCACCCCTTGTTTTTTGGCATTTTTTTTTCAAAGACTAGCCTAGGCTTCTACAACAACCAAGGCAATTCAACAGAAGGACGCACATCTCCGCTCTCGAACATAGCGCGTGCGTACAGTCCTTTGATCTTTACTGTGGCATCGACAATCCGATACTAGTTGCGAGTACAGCCGTCAATTAATAGTCTATGCGTGCCATACGTTTTATGGTGTTAGTTACTATTTTATTAATTTTGAGTACTTCGCAATGTCTGTTACATTTTATTTCTTTTGACTGCGAGCTTGATAAATGCTTCTATAAACTGCAATTTGATTTGTAAAAATTGACTAAGAAAATGAAAAGTTATAGCAATTGAAAATTTACAAATTTTATAAAATTTCATGTTCTCGTGTAACATTAAACTGTCATTTTGACAATGTTTGACTAAGGTGCACAAAACGAACATTTGAGTAGATACAGAAAATTTAAAAGCCTTTGTAATCACCGTACGATGCAATTATCATGGCAACTAACACGCTTGTGAGTAATTCGTCACACGCTGACGGTTAAATGGTTTGGTGCTGTGATTTTTGTGACGTTCAGCGTGTAGGGACCCGCGGCCCCTAGAATGTCGATGCCAGAGTTACAACCTTTGATGTCCCGAGATGTACGTCCTGCTGTTGAATTGCCTTGCAACAACAAGGTTGTGCAACAGTCACAGAGCACAGACAAATGCTGGTAACTAACTAGAGTGAAATGCCTAGGCCTCTGGATGTCCCCAGTGGTTTTCAGAAATTTTCTTTTCAAATTTAGTAAAAATTGTGTATCACCGGTAGCATGCCAGTGATTGTTGTGTTGCCGTTTCTTAAGCTCTGTCTACGCACCAAAACACTTTTGTATGCCCATATATAGTCATGATGTGCCTATATATGGTCATGATGTACCCATATAGTCCTGATGTGCCCATATATAGTTATGATGTGCCTATATGGTCATGATGTGCCCATATATAGTCACAATGTGCCTATATAATGGTCATTATATGTGCCTATATAGTCATGATGTGCCTATATATTGTCTAGTACTGTACAGAGCTTTTAGACAAGATTTCTATGTAGATTATGGCCTGCTTAATAGAGGGTGTATTAGGCTTTTAGTTTGTACAGTATTGTTAAAATTATCATAGAATTTTTTTTTTTTTCATATGGTCATTTTTGTTTTTTATCCTCACAGGCTCTCAATCATGTTCCCATTCCAATTTGTTGGCATGCTTGGCAGATTTGACACGGAATGTTATGTAGCTAAGGACGGCGGTAAACAGGGCCAGGCTGGGGCTGTGCGACTTGCAGTCTCACGTGCATTGCAGAGTTTTGTTGATGTGGACAAAATAGAACAAATGCGACAAGGTGAGTGCTGGAAAGCAAAGTGGCAAGAATGGAATGGACCTGAAATAACTTAACGACCGACTAATTAGAACAGGGCTAAGCACTTGTCCCACAGAAACGTACACAGTTGCCCCACAAATGCACGTTTGTAAGACCTTAGCCACAATGATCAAAGTGTGGGGTTTGATGTATTACATATTTCATCTTTATCAATGAGTTATTATTTTTCTATTTATTTTAGTACATTTATTTCTTTATATTTTTAGCTGGTCTATTGACTCAAGATCCCAGGGTAAGAGAAAGAAAGAAGCCAGGGCAAAAGAAAGCAAGAAAGAAGTTTACTTGGAAAAAGAGATAGTAGAAAAGACAAATTGTGTCCATGTATAAATTTGTGTAAATTCAGCTAATATTAATATTGAACTAGTCATGGTGCCCCGTGTCAGTAAAATATTTTCGCTCACTAAGTGTCCGAGGTGTGGATAATATCCCAACTAAATAAATCACTGAAAATTTCAACTACTGAGTACCAGACTGTAAAATAAGGTCTGAATATATCCTCCATGCAAAAATTAGGCCGATTTCTGCGCAGACTTTGCAAAAAATTAGACTTGACCTATCTCTTACTATATAAACATGTACAGTATGATACATTGATTTTCTGCACAAATTTGAGCTAGTTTGTGGTGTATCATCCGCGCAATTAAAATACTTCACAGTATGGATTGACTATTCAACCATAAATTAACTTTTGTTTTCAACAAAAATTGATTGTGCATTGTCATTCATTTTTGATATTTAATTAGTTGAAGCCTCTCTGAAGCTCCATCAATTGTTTGGGCTAGGATTTGTGGCTCCTCGGCTGACTGGGAGCTCATGAGCGTTACACTAGTTCAACTCATAAATTTATGAACACCTTGAGTTAACATGAATACAACAATACAGTTGATATTTTATTTACAACTAGTGAACCATAAAACCTGTGATCTTTACATGAACAATTTTTCAATGCAACACTAGAAGAAATTAAAGACATATTTCAATTGAGATTAATACATTTCTTTCATTTTAACAAGTGTACCATAGTGGATGAGGTTTATAATGTACAGTACTCTTATGTACACAAAATAATACCACTTAAGGAAGTACCAGTCTCCCCTGATATACTCTTTTAAATGCATGTACAACAAAGTACAGTACATCATTGAAATGCACACACAACACAACACCACACAAAAACACACAACAACTTATTCTAATTTATGTTGTGTGTGCATTGAAATGCACACACAACATAAATTAGGATAAGTTTTGCCTTCAGTGACTTCACAATAATTTCCAAAAACCTCAATACACTAATGTCAAGTAATTGTTTTAAATAAATTCACAAAATAAAAAGAAGTTATTCTTTATTTTAAAAAAATCCCAATATTTTCATTTCAGTCTGTTTCATTTCCTTGTAAATGAAAGTAGGTTATTCTTTTTTTAAATGAGAACAGAAAAACATTTTCCTTACCATTTAACAAACACATACATTACATTCCTATATTTTTGTGTACAGACCTATACAATGTAACTTGGCTGGTAATCAATTCATACTGTAGATATGTCAATCAACACCTAGAAAATGAAGCAGGCACACACTATAAGATTTTGTATATGCAACAGCGTTCATCAGATATATCTGATCAAACATTATATAGCACATTGTCATTGACGTCACAATACCACATAACACACCCCTCCATTACTAAAGCAACAGTACAGAGTGCCTCCTAGATTAAGCCCATCTTCATATCTTGTTAGTTGGTCAATCCATTTAAATGGTATATTCGTCTGTTCAGTAACAAAGGGTGTCGTAATAATTAGAATACTAAAATTAGTATTCTAATTAATAATTTCTCTATGCAGAAAATTACTTTTTTATTTTGTCAAACAATGAACAAATATTAAATCTGATCATGTATGCCCGGTTTAACACATTGCTAACGAATTGCACAGAAATGTTATAGAAAGTATTAAACTGCAAAAAAAAATCAAACCTACGTATGAAGTATAAATTTCATTAAAAAATAATTTCTAAAAGTGGCAAAAACCATTCTAACAACAACGTAATCCAATAAATGTTAAAAAAATACCAAAACATTCCCTTAGCTGAAATATATAAAATATCTACAACTACATTATTTAATTCAATGTGAGTATTATGGGATTTAAGAGTACATTAATTCAAAGTCAGCAATTGGTAAGAGGCAATCCATCGCATACCAGGTGGTCAGTTACGCAAATTAGTTTTGATAATTACTTTGCAAAACTCAACTTATTACAGCAACATAGCATTTAGTGTTTCACTAAAATTACATACTGTACTATGTAGATATTTTAATAAAATCATTTATTTAAAATAGGCTACTAAAAATATTTCCTGTGAATCAAATAGAATATAGTAATTTGAACAACATATATACTGTATTTTATATCTACAATCTTGCAATCAAATAATATCAATTGTGATATTATCGATATTGTAAGCATATCGTAATAATCAATATCTACTATCTTTGAAAACAGTTTTGCTCTGCAAAAAAATTCATTTTCTCTAATGTATACAATTCGAATCAGTAACATGGAATTAATTTTACAATTAGATTTTGTGAACCCGCATTAATTTTGTTTTCATCCCCTTGGCTTGTACAGCTGGCAAGATGACGATGGGTTGCACATGGTGTAATGACATCACCTCTTGTTAATTACACGAGAGAAGTTGCAGGCCATAGAGATTTAGTTAAGAACATGAAAAGAAAATGTGGAAGGACCAAGGAGATGGGGAGTGGGATGTAACAGGAATTCATTAAGGGCCTATGCCAGGGCTGGACCCGCACCCCCTCCCCCCTTGGAAAGTTTAGAAAAAAAGTAAAAGAATTAAAGAAAAAGAAAATAATTGATTGCCCTAAACGCCTCAGAGGTTATTTTCAGGCATCTAAAAACCACAAAGTTCGCGCCCACACCCCCACCTCCTAGTAGTAAGGTAGTGTTATCTCGATCACGGACCCCCCTTTGGCCCCCCTCCTTTTTCCTTTGTCTCTAAGCGTCAGTAGAATGCAAGCCAAAACAGGAATGATTGACTGATGATACAAACACTCTTTAAGAATTGCTACCTACTCACCTACTCTTTAAATAAACTACGTACAATATACCATATGATTTGTTTTGATATAATTAAGCACATGTGAAAAAGCGAAAGGGCTTACTTGCAGATCCCTTAGTCTAGACAATCACGCTGAGGGTTAAAATTACTGATCGCATGCATAGTTCATTATGGGACTGTGACTGCCTCATTCAACAATTCTTTACATTTTATAAGCTACATTCAGTGTAAAAGCCCTTCAGCTACATAACACAGCAAGTGGGGGGGGGGGGATGCTTCACAAATGAGCATTGTGTACAGTGAGATCAACCTGACTTTTAAAGCTCAAACATATTACCATACAATGAATATAATTATTATACAAACCACTAGAAACATATAAATTTATCACAATTTCTAAGTACTGTATTTTTAAGGAGTTGTAAGCTATATAATAATGAATACTCTATGTATGTTACAATCATTCATTAACACTTGATAAGTACATAATTAATCCAAACTGCATCATTTTTTAGAAGTTTTTTCATATGTAAACTGATTTGGATTACTTCTACTACTCGACTTCCACAAACATATAAATCTGGAATACAAACTGGAGCCTGGAAATTTTTCAACAGTATAAATTGGCCTGGTCATGAACATTAATAGTTAATACTGTACACACAACTCATGAATATTAATGATAATTTTGAGTATTAATGAATATTCATCACATGAATAGCACCATTTGCAGCATGGATTTTTAGGGATGTAAACCATTACAAAATAATGGGTTTTATTTTTTTGTGTTTTATGTTATATACACTTGCTACAAAATCAGAATTCCTTAATTAGCATCATTTGTACAGAATACAATATCAATTTTATTGAATAATCAATCATACATTTTATTAGAATTTTAGAATTCCAACAAAAACAAAATTCATTTAATTATATTTTTTCTTATGCAGCAAGCTAAAATCAATGGCAGTTAATTCATTAAAATCACATGAGACTATTATCAACAATAATGGTGGAATTTTACAGATGTCTTGTGACACGTACATAACTCAATGAATTTTGTGACATTTAACCTGTTTTTATGTTATTTCCATCACTGAATATATAAAATATATTTAAAACATTAAAGGACAATACCACTCCTACTGTTACTTAATACCCCTCTACTGTTGTTATTGATAACCATGACATTATTAATATCCCATGGCTGTCTAGGATATCAGCTCCTATTTTTTGTTTAATCAATAGGTTTACAGCTACTGTAATAGAAGACAAACTTATCACTGAATAATGCAATAGGAATCAGGGGAAAAATCTATATTCTCCCTACATGAACTTCTCCTTTTAAAGAAGTATTAACAGTATGCATAATCTCATTTTAATTACATGAAAACGTCTAACAGACCTTTTACTCCATCTAACATTAATTCTATTACTAGACTAGCATTACTATGAAAATATTGTGAGCATCTGATTAAAGATGATTCAACCTTAGTTTTATATTTATTTATATCATTATTTTCAGTGATGAATATAAGAACCAGGCACCTGCCTAGTATTATTTTTTCTTTTCTAGGTAAATATAGAATATTACAGTTTTCTCACACACTGTCTAATACTTGTAGTTTGAGAGCATTTGACTTAATGCAGCTAGAAGGCAGTAGTGGCCTTAATATTTTTGCAGCTAGAGGGCCACTGCCTTGATGATCTTACTTGCAGCTAGAGAGTGGTTGCCATAATCATCTTACTTGCAGGTAGAGGACAGCCTCCTCAATGCAGCTTTTTGCAGCTAGAGGGCCGTTGCCTTTATAATCATACTTGTAGCAAGAGGACAGTTGCCTTATGTGTGATCTTACTACTTGCTTTGAAAATTATACTTGTAGCTAAGTGACAGCTTTAATGCTCATACTTGCAGCTTGAGGGCAGTTGCCATAAATTTGATCTTCCTAGCATGTAGTTTACCTGAATTATCTTTCTTGAAGCTAGAGGGCAGTTAAGTTTGAGAACCTTGCAAAATAGAGGATGGTTGCATTTGATGAACTTGCAGCTAGAGGGCGGTTGACTATAATGCAGCTAATTGGCAGTTGCCTTACACAACCTTACAGCTATACAGTTGCCTTTGGTGGTCTTGCAGGTAAAGGATGGTTGCCTTTGATGGTCTTGCAGATAAAGGATGGTTGCCTTTGATGGTCTTGCATCTTGAGGTGATTGGCTTTGATGGTCTTTGATGATTGTATTTATAACTAGATCATATCATATTATGTTGGTATAACAGTATTTGGTGTTTGGTTTAGTACTTGAGCTGAGTAGGCACAAACAAGCAGCCGATCCTGAAAAAAAAAATTAATATTTATGAAAAGCAAAAAATCATAAGATTTACATACAATTATAAATTAACAATATTCCTTTAAGATTAGCAGGAATTTAAGAGCTGTGGCTACTTAGCCACAGACTGGCATATAGCCAAACTCAATACTCACGTTAGTATGAGGAGCACTTAGAGTATGGATCTGAATCTTATTGCGTCCTTCAATTGGCAGGAATGACATAATGAAATTATTATTCTGCAATGTAAAAATACATATGTAAGAAACATAATGAATTTCTAAAATATAGGCTATGAAAACAGATAAAAATATGTTTTATGGACCTTTCTATCGTGTTCGTTCTAGTTTTTAGATCGCCAAATTGTGTTGTTTACATGCATTTCGTGATCATCTAGCATTCATGATGTCAATAATATGTTGATACCAACACTCTTGTTTATTCGTCATCGTCCCAACACTCTTGTTTATTCGTCATCGTAAACATGTGCGCACAATCCGACAACACTTGTGTTGGTAGTTCTTTGTTTTGGTTAGGTTTATTACTTATTTTATTTATTTATTTATTCACCAAAACAACAGTCGGAGTTATATACGTCCAATTTATTTTTAGATGTGGATAAGAGACAGGTTGGATTGTTTCCAGCTAGAGGGAAACTTTCCAGTAGTCAGGGATTTGTTGAAAATATTGCAGACAGGAACTGAAAGAGGCTTGGCACACACCTTTAAAACATGGTTACTCAGTTCATCGCACCCAGATGCTTTATAAGATATTACAGAAGAAAGCGCTTTATAAACTGATTCAGGCTGAATAACTGGCAATGCCAATATATCTAGTGAAGCTTCAGGGAGAGCTAAATGCTAGTCAGTTATTGACAAATCTTTTTGAAAAACAGAATGAAAATAAGAGTTAAACAAGAGGGCTTTGTCCTTAGCATTTTCCGCGACCTTGTCCCCGTAAGTCATTACAGAAGGATAAGAGGACGACTTTGTTTTTGTCTTCATCCAAGTCCAGAAACGTTTTGGATTTGTTTTTACGTTGTCGGACAAGGTATGAATATAAAGAGAATATTTCTTTTTTGCCAAAGTTTTAAATTGTTTCCTGGCTGTATTGAATTCGTTTTTATACTGTATTAGTTCATATTTTTTCCACATTCGAAAAAAATGTTCCTTCCGCCTCAACACGGCAATAATATAGTGATTAATATAGCAGAAATTGTAGAAAGGATACGGCTATTAATAAATAAATACAACAAATTTGATTTTATAAAGAAAATATTGGACTTTTTTTACGGCATTAATTGGTCGATGATAATGTTATCAGGAGCAAAGACCATTTGTAAAATCGACTATTCGTAAAATCGACATTCGTAAAATGGATGATTTACTGTATATGGTGTGTATTTATGCTAATTACAAAGCTTATTTGAAGACTTACTGGCATAAGAGATGGAAGAGGTATGCCATTCATGAGGACCTCTCGAACGAGGCATGCACCTTCCAGACGGCAATTAACACTGTACGCATTGAACTTTGCATGGATGAGAAACAGAAGAATTCCACAGTCTAAAAGAAATGTTTAACACACATATATAATAATAATAATAATGTTTTGGTTTATATAGCACCTTATCGAAAGCTTGTCTCAAAATTCATTACCTTGGTTTTTTAAGGTATGCGAGACATGTTTTATATAGTTATTTGGTATTAATATAGCACTTTTCCATTAGATTACGCGAGGTGCTTTGTTGTTGCCATATTGGTGCAGGAGCAGGCAATCTCACCAGGTACCCATGGTGAAGAGAAGCAATGGAGATATAAAGTGCCCTGCTTAAGGACACAAGAGAAGTGCACAGCGAGGTATTGAAACCCCCACCTAGACATTGGGAAACCAAACCGTTCCTGCTTCTAGATATTGTGTAATAATGGCCAAGGTGTTTTTGCTAACTATCATTAACCATTCAGTAACTCTGGGCTTACAAAAACTTCTAGGCATTCAGAAACATGATAAAACAGTTAATAAAACATGTTGTATTCCTCACCATGTTTGTAGATATAGTAACTGGGGTTGAATTTGAGGTAGAGTGTATTCTCGGTCGCTTCACGAGGTCTGATGATCTGCAGAGGCAGTACAAGCGTCTGAATCGTAGCAATCCCCTTTAAGTAGTCATTCATAGTCTGTTGTACACTTTTGGATAATCTACAATTTTAAAGTAAACTTTCTATTTTATTAACTTTTGAGTGTTGTTAACTTAAAATGATTTTTGTTTTTGATTTATGCTGGAGAAGAAATATAAAAATTTATCATCATCTCATACCTGTCAACATGCTGCTTAATGACATCTTGAACATTATGATTGTTGTTAAGGATCGGGCATCCTGTTGCTGAGTTAGTTCCTGTGACAACGGTCCAGTCTGCCCCATTTAGCAGCAACAGCTCAGCTACTGATTTAAATCCTTTCTTACATGCCTGTGACAAAATGAACAAATGAGTTAACTTTAGTGACTATCAAATACTTAAGCCAGACACTTACTGCATCATATGCAAGACGAATCCAACTCCACTCCCAGTAAGAGCTAGACGATGCGATGCCGTCTGCTGATTGTCTGCGGCAGTCGGAACAGATGAGGCATGTCATGGCAAAATGGTTAAGTTGTCATACAGACCAGTATTGAGTAAAGGAGCTATAAAATATGTGAGCTCCAAAAATTGCCTAAAAATCCAATTATTTTTTTTCACTATAGATCAACAGTTTAATGTCTTATTAATCATGTCCCAAAGTATTAGTTCTGGAAGTGATCAACAAATCGTTTATTTAATGTTATTTAGATAGTTAATTCTATTAAACAATGTATGCACAAATAACTTTGGAAGGCAATTACAGTAGAACCTCGATTTTACGTACGATACGGGACCAGAGGGCGTACGTAAATCGGGGGATTCGTAAAATAGAGGTTGGGTTAAATTTGTGGTAACCTTTGACCTAATACGTACGTAAAGCTCAATAAACGTATGTACGACGAACGATGATACCTAGGCTAGACCTAGCCTCTAGGCCTACGAATAAAACCATGTGTTTAGTGTTTTTATTCATCACTTTACGATGTCATAATAAAGTGTTCAAATAAAACCATGTGTCTAGTGTATTAATTCATCACTTTATATCTTTTATTTAACTACATTAAAGTACATGAAAATATTGTAAGATTACCTAACGACAAAGGTATAACTTGGGAATTCCCCTTCATGCCTATTCTAAACAACAGAGATGTGGTGTTGTCTGGGCCTGTTGAGACAAACTAAACCCATGTGCGCT